TGTTAAATTGCCAGTCAATTTAACTCGTGATATTACTGCGGTAGTTTAATAGAGTTAGGGTTTCAAGACCGAAAAATCATTTCGGCGCGCGTTTCTGGGGACTACATACATAATATATAAATTCACATAAGAATCATACAAGCATTAAGATCCAGCTAGACCGTTTAAGGCTTTGATTTCTATAGTTTATTTTATTCAAAATTATATCAGCAACAAAAATAATACAATATACCTATAGGCATAATATTTTACAATAAAATATCTAAATTACACTTTCTATATCAGGTAAACTTATTCAGCACTGCTTCTTTAACAATTTCTATGGCTTTATTTTCCGAACTTTCAAATGCCCAACGGCTGAAAAATTTTGTTCAGCAGAAACGATATTCATCGGCAAACACAGTAATATTTTATATAGTTTTGCGATTAGTGACTTTTGCGTTACGCTGCATAACGCGGTAGAAGTAACAATTGAACAGTATGTCGCAAGAATCTATGGAAGTTTCTTAAATTAAAAAATATTTTTGAATCGTCAAAATTGTAATGAAGCTTTTAGAAATATTAAAAATATGTGTAACATTTCATTACAAAATATTTTTAAGAAGACTCCAAGAGGGGGGGGGGGTGGATCATGGCACCATGGCCTCCTCCGCCCTTCGTGGTTCCGACGTGTTTATTGCAATTTGTATAGCTAATGTGATAGATACAGTTATTGAAAGAGTTATTAAAATTTGATTAATATTTTAAACATAAGACTTAAAAAAAGCTATGTTAAAAGTTAATTAAGGAAAGTAATACACATACAAATATTAATATTGCCAAACATATTTCATCTACAATAAATAATAATATAAACATTAAAGTCGATCTGTTCAAACATATTTTATTTTTTATTTGCCTGTAAGTGTGAGATCAAGATTTCTTTAATACTCTCAATAAAGAAAATGATTAAACAAAAAGTGAAGAATTTTAATAAATCAAATGATATTGGAAAGTAACAGAAGAGTATATTTTAAAATATTTACCTTAAAATGAAAATAGTTAACAAGTGTCAATGTAATCACGGCGATAAATTCTATGATCACCACGTAATCCCATATTCTCTGCCATTCCAAATAGATAAAATAGTTATAATAAGAGGCATACGTAGAAAAGCTCCATGTGGTCAAAGTATATAGGAAAGAGAGATACGGCCTTGGCTGTCCAAGAGGATATTCAAACAAGCCCAAACTGCAGAACGAGCCAATGATTAATAATGGTGCCAGCGCTGTCTGTAGCGTCGTCGTCATAGTTTCCGAACAGTCGGCTAATAATTTGAATTAATTCTTGTCACACGGAACACAAACGCGTTTAATACTCTTCATAAGAATTTCAAAACTAGTTTGTTTCTACAGATCCTCTAGGAACCTTGCCAGAATTATACTGTAAGGTACGTACGTATATTGGAGAATGAAGTATATACATATCAACAAGTATTGAGCGGCCAAATAAAACATGTATGCAGATAATCTAGATTAGATTACTGTATTCTCGCGGAAGTTTTATTTATATGTATATATTATTACAGGAGATAAACATATATAAACGTAACTATCTTTGCAATATTATGTCTTTATTCTAGCTGTTCAAAGATACATAACAGCATGGTGAAAGAAGACAAGGTGTAACAATTTCAAGGATGCGTAGTAATCAACTTGTTCAATCAAAAGTATGCTAGCATTTGATTGGCTAGCATTTAAATGACTAGCATTTTATTGACTGGTCATGACATAAAAAGAACATATGCAATGCGTATTATTACACATTGTCTTTTTTTATCATGCATAATAGATGCTTTTTATTTATGACCTTTTTGAACAACACGTATTGACGAGATAAAGCTGATAACTTCGATGAAGTGTTTTATAAGTATGTAGAAGTTAATATACACGTAATATAACGTTTTCATAAATTAAACGCGTGCATAAAATTATTTTTATAATACTAATATAATTTATTAATATAAAGCTATAAAACTATAAGGAAAGCAGCCTAAAAGTAGTTATATAACGTTAGTGTTTCAACAGAATGTATTTTCTGTTTATAATTGGTGCAATTTAAAGGTTTCACATATTTTTTGAAAAAAATTATTATTATATACTTCTATATAGTTTGGAAAAGAGATTTGGAATAAGTTTGGAATAGGTAGTCATATTTTCCTTTAAGGCGCAAACATACAAGCATATATAATAATTTGTGTAACGTTTTTTTCTGAGAGGAGCTCACACACTTGGCACACTTCGCTCAATACTTGTTGATATGTACATACTTCATCCTCCAATATACTTATGTACTTTGAAGTATATTTCTCACAAGGTCTTAGAGGATCTGTAGAAACAAACTAGTTTTGAAATTCTTATGAAAGTTTGTGTTTCGTGCGACAAGAATTAATTCAAATTATTAGCCGACTATTCGGAAATTATGACGCTACAGACAGTGTTGGCACCGTTATTAATCAATGGCTCGTTCTGCAGTTTGGGCATGTTTGAATATCCTCTTGGACCAGCAAGGCCGTATCTCACTGGCCTATATACTTTGACCACGTGGAGCTTTCTACGTATTTCTATTATTATGAACGCTTTATCGTTAAATGGGAAAATAAGGTAGACAATTGGACAAGAATCATAATAACGATTGCCGCGATTACATTGATACCTGTTAACTTATACTTACATTTTAAGGTAAAAATTTTTTAATGTACTAATCTATTAGTTTCCAATATCATTTGATTTATTACAATTCTGTAACTTTTGTTTAATCATTTTCTTTATTGAGAGTATTAAAGAAGTCTTGATCTCACACTTACAGGCAAATACAAAATAAAATGTTTTTGAACAGATCAACTTTAATGTTTATATTATTATTTGTTGTAAATGAAATATGTTTGGCAACATTAATATTTGTATTTGTATTAATTTCCTAAATTAGCTTTTAACATAGCTGTTTTAAATCTTAATGTTTCAAATACCAATCAAATTTCAATAACTATCTATCACATTATCTGTACAAATTGCAATAATCACTGGCAGATCCATGGGGGTGGGGGAGGGGCGGCCATGGTGGCTATGCTTTCCTTCCCCCCTTTGAAGTCTCCTTAAAAATATTTTGTAATGAAAAGTTACACATATTTTTAATATTTCTAAAATGCGCTTAATCACAATTTTGATGTTCTACAAATATTTTTTAATTTAAGAAACTTCCATAGGTTCATACGACTTACTGCTCTTGTTAATACCTCGTTATACAGTGTTATGCGAAAGTCACTAATAGCAAGACTATATATGATATTACTGTGTCTGCCGATAAGTATCGCTTCTGTTGAACGAAGTTTTTCAGCCCTTTGGCATTTGAAAGTTCGGAAAATAAAGCCACAGAAATTGTTAAAGAAATACTGCTATATAAGTTTACCAGAAACAGAAACAAGGCTCAGTCGTATTTCAAATTAATTTATTTAAAATATAAATTTTAAATAAAGGAGAAATTAGAAAGTTTCTCTCTCTCTCATTTAGTATTTATTATTTTAAACAACTTCTTCTGACCTATTTCTTATTCGATATTTTAAATAAGTTTTTGGAACTTATATTTTATATTTTTTATTTCGAATAAGTCATATCACTCTTTTATCAATTACGATATTTTAAATAATTGAACAATTTTCAAACCTATTTTTTATTTAAAATAAATCACATCAGTTATTATTTTTATTTTATTTATATAATATAATAATTATATATATTTATTAAGTTTATATATTCTTATTACTTAAATACTTATTTTGTTGCCTAATGCTAAATATAACTATAATAACATTAATTAGAGGCTATAATTATAAAAAAAACTGAAATGGTAAAATCTGAAATGTTATAAATTTATAAATGTATACTCAAGTGTATGTTCATGCATATATCAAAATAAACAAAATTATTAAAATATTTTATATTTCCTATTTAAAACGTTTATTTAAAATACATATTTTTTATTTTATATTTTGAGTTAGTTTTTGAAATGTACTTTTTACTTACTAAATACTAAAATAAAATAAAAAATAGATACTAAATTAATAGATACTTAATACTAAAATACTAAAATAAAAAATAGATTTCAAGAACTTCTTTTAAATATAAGATAAGTTATTTTAAATAAATTTTTGAAAACAATTTTTATTTAAAATAAGAATATTCTTCAAAAACTTATTTAAAATAAAAAAGCAAAATTTGAAATTTTAAATAATAGTTATTATATATTTTTTAAATAAATAAAATGCATTCCAGAGTCCTATTTCTTATTTTATATTTTTAATAATTTTTTGCGACGTATTTCTTATTTAATATTTTACATAAATTTTTGGAACCTATTTTATATTTATTATTTCGAATAAGTCGTATCACTCTTTTATCGACTCCTACGATTTTATATTTAAAATAAGTTTCTGGAACTTATTTTATATTTTATATTTTAAATAGGTCGTATCAAGTTATTTTACCGAGCTCTGCGTATTCCTGATTACCCGCTAGTATAAAGGTAAATTTTCACGAGCTGCTCTAACCGGCTATTTTAGCGACAAAAAGGATCACTTGATCAAAATGGGCATTTGATATTCGTCAATTTTGACCACGTATTCTTTTTGTCGTTGAAACAGCCGGTTGGAGCAGCCCGTGAAAATTACCTTCAGAAAGCACTATTGCTGCGTTCGAGGAGCGCGCTATCAACGCTATTTGTGTCATACTATCCTTATTTCACATTTAATGGACGATGAAGATAGAATGACACAAATAGCGCTAATAGCGTCTCCCCGAACCCAGCCTATGTATATCATGTGTATTGTTAGGTTATGTTTAAGCCATTTCCATTATCTCGCTGCACGTGTACCGTATGCGCGTATATTTTAATATTTGCTCGCATAAAAAGCATTTCTGATATCACTTGATACTTTATTAAAAAATGTGACAGTATATATCGAATTATCTGATTGATCAAAACAATTAGTATAAAGAATGGCAGTGAGAAAGTATAGACGATGTGGTGCCCGTGTATCACCGCGGAAAAACGAGACGAAGACACAGAAGATCATCAACAAGAAACCCGTGGAATCCAATGACAAAAGTAAAAAAGCTGCAGTTGTCGCTAATCTTCAACAAGAAATTAAGATAGCGCGATTATTGGCTAACAATGACAAAAAAGTCCGGGACAAGGTGCTAAAAAGACTTAATAAATGGCTTACGGTACGATCACAGAGTTCGTTTGGTAAGTCAATTTTTGTGCATTATTATGTAAATTACATAATTAACACACGATGATTTTTCGATCCTTTATTATATGTGATCCCTAGTAGCACAATAGTGTTCAAATATTATTTATTTATTGGTTTAACCAGTATATCCCCAATAAATTGCTATTAGAGATAGATTGTTTGTGTCCCGGGTCAATTTTTATCACTTTTATAAGTATATGAAGATTATAATTATTCTCTTACATGTATACTTCAACATCTTTAAATAGTATCTATAAGTAATGCTTTTTTAACATTAGCAAACAAAGCTGTAATGATTCAATTGTGTTACATGGTGTCATGTGTATCTCTTGCTGGAAAGCATCCAATATATTAAAAAAGGAAAGGATAGGAGACCATCATTTAGCCAAGTGCTTCCTTAATATTTCAAAGAAAGAAATACATAAGATACAAATGACTCAATCATGTATACAAAGAGTTAATATAAATATGAAACTTGAATATAAATACTTTGTATTTTGAGCCTGATATACTCTGCGTTCTTTACAGTGTTTACGAAGACAGATTTCATGAGTTTATGGAAAGGTCTTTTTTACTGCATGTGGATGTCAGACAAAATGTTGATCCAGGAGGAGTTGGCAGAGTCACTGAGCAAGCTTGTGCATTGCTTGAAATCGAAAGATACAATTATACTTTACACTAGCTGTGCCCTACAGACGCTTGCTGCTGAATGGTTTGGCATAGATCAGTATAGACTAGACAAATTCTCCATGGTACTTTTGTTATTTGAAATATATCTGATCGCAATAGACATGCAAGGACTTGAATATTTGGAAAGAATCTAATCTTGTCATTTTTCTGTTTTTCTTGTAGTTGGTCAGGAGGATTCTTCGTCAAACGTTTGTAGTTTGTAAAAATCACTTGTGGAACATGGAATGGGTGACAGAATTTTCGAAAATATTTACGCAACTCTTTTTGCATGTAAAAACCGGCTTAGGATTTAATTTGCATATAACAGAGATATATCTAGAAGAGCTTGCCAAGGTACTTATACAATATAAGAGAATTTGTGGCTAAAATTTAAACTTTTATTTGATTTGTATTAAAAAATTGCCATTTCTATTATTGATACTGTAGGTTGGTAATGGAAATCTACAAGAAGATGTAGTTCACGAACTTGTTAAACCCTTTGCTGAATATCTAATAACTACAAGTGACGAACGACAGATGAAACATATCATGCGACATATTTTCAGATATTTGATATTCCAATCAGATATTGGTTTAGATTACATAGAAAAATTCAATGCTTGGAAAGACGTATGTTAATATATCTAAAATACAAAACTCCAATACATGATGTAACATATCTCAACATATTTATTAATTTATAAACTCATGTATTTTGAATAGGCTGGTTTTCCCTGTGCACGTATAGATGATATGCAAAAAGTAGAAATATCTGACATAGAAGAAAATGCTAACACTGAAGATAAACAATTTTCTGAAGCTGAGCCAGAAAATGAGATTGAGAAACCTTTAGATCCAAGGGCGGGTAAAGTGGATATCGAACTACCGCCAATACCTTTTAATGCCGCGAAGATTGCTGAATTGCTTTCAACGTATAAATTTCATCAGTCATCAACGGCAAAATCACGCAGGCAGCTCTTGAGACTTTTTGACGAGTATGTATCTTATTAATCTATCAAATATATATAAGTTACGTTTATATAACATGTTATACTGGAAAAAAATTTATATTTTCAGATTTACAGAATTATCACAAGGAAAAATGCCGCTTGGAATAAAAAGAATCAGGAAACCAAATCGTCAGAGAAAAGAGATGGATTCGCGAAAAGCTGCATTGCGCTTCATCAAGTTTGAGAAGGATTTGGTTTCTGACAATGTGAATAAGAAACGAAAAAGAGAAGGAACTGGAAAAGCAGTTTGTGATGAAACTTCTATTGATGATCTGAAGAATGGAAATACTTTAGATTTAGAAACTAATGCTATTAAACCAGAAAATAAATTAACTGATACAACTGCAAAGATTGAGTTGCAAGAGGTAGATACAAACGCAGTACCATTTAAGAAACGGAAAAGAAGTGATTCAACTTCTGATGTATCTAGCACTAAATCTGATATTACTGAAAATAAGAAAAAATTACAAATAGATACTTCCAAAAAGAGTAAAGCTATAAAAAAGAAATTAAACAAAAAAAGTAAGAAATCTATAGATAAAAATGTAGAACATAAAGCAAAGAAAGCAGTAATTTCTGTAGGACAAATAACTAGAACTAGTGATTTAGATCAACATCCTTCTATCTCGCAAAAATCTAACAAAAAAGTTCCATTAAAAGAAACTAACAACAAACCTGTAACCAAGAAAGGAAGTGAAATGAAAAGCAAGATTACGAGTCAAAAAATACCATTAAAAAATGTAAATGATATTTAATGCTATATTTTGTTGTATAATTAATCCTGCTATGATAATGCATTATACTTTATATACATATATATAATTATTACAGAAATTACATCTGATAAAGAAGCAAACTAATTTAAATAATTCCACGACAGAAAAGAAAAAGGTAATATTCGGACTCTCTCGAAATACAGCCCAACATACATCCGAGTATATTCGACAAGTTCGCAAAAGTCCGGCTATTCCATTTGATGCAAATAAAAAACCATTGAACAGCGTGCTGAAAATGAATCCTATACAAAGTCCGCTTAATCCGTTTTACTACAAAGAATAACACGAGATTTCACGGGATTTAAATCTTGTGAAAATGTTTTATAAAAAACGTTCAAGTAATTATCATGTAATTGATAAAAATTGAATATAAAACAGTTCAAAAAACTTAGTTTCTTTTATAAAATATAAAAATTTCCATAAAATATAAAAATGTTTTACAGAAATGTCAAAAACAGTTATATACATATGTTTGTAATAAATGAAATAAATAAGATCATAGTTAATTTAGAATGATCTCTATATATTTATTTTTAATTTATTACAGCGGAATGGCACAAACAATAGCATAAATATGTACATTCTAAATACAATCATTATGCAGTACAACAAAGGTTTTATTGCACCATTAGTGATTCACTTTAGATTCACTTACTTTCAATTTGGAGCTTTCTACTTTATTTTTTTTTTGTTTGTTATTGCGTAACGTCCAAAGTAAATATACAGATTTCTACATCTCGAATACATATAGAACTTGATACATCACATGTAATGTTACAGTCTTAAATATTGTACATATCACGCAAAATATGTTATACGATAAAATACTCCATATATTACGATGTTAATAGTACACGTAATATCTTTAGACATTATACGCACTTTACATCATTGTACGACAATCTAATTAACATCTATTTGCACAGAAAGATTTTTATAGACATTTTATTGATAACTTGCTTAATTTGTCATCCAATCTATAAGACATACAGAGATTATTACAATCAATTTATAATTCTCTACTTATATTGTTTATTAAAGCTTATGAAAGAAAAAGGATTAATTTTTTTTTATATCGAGATTCCAGGTACATTACAATTATATAAAGAAATTAAGTATGTCTTATGTGTTTTACTTACACATATATGTATACGTATACAGATCTACAGCTATATTTACGCTGTAAACGAGCTCTTACAAAACTATTTTGACTGTTTATATCTCTTTGGCACGTGAATTCACTTTTATTTATACTCGAAATTGTTCGGTAATTAATCTATACTTTATCGAGAGAATACTAGAAAAAATAAATATTTTCTAACATACTATGAATTATAAAAATTATGCGACATAAATACTTCTTTAAACATTGAATCATAGATTACATTATTTTATGTAACATGAGGTATTATTCAATGATTAGACCTGTGATGAAAGATTTTTCGCTTCTGAAAGAGATGTTAAAATCAATCAATATAATTTTCGTACTCCTGCGAAAGTCACATCAATTTAGATTACGAAATTTATTATGATGTTGGTGATAACACTGTAAACAATAAATCGAACGATTTAAAAGACGATTTTTAAAAAGATATTGAAATATAAAAAATTATATATGGAATATATATTATGTATTGAAGATGTCTTACCAATATATCATAATATACATTCTTTCGAAATGAATAATTTCTCAAATATTTTAGTTTGTTCTTAAAAGTAACGGAAAGATTTTAAATAGTAAATGGACCATCTTGTGTGAAGAATTCTTTTCATGTATGTGTTTTAATCGATTTATTTATATCAACTTTTATTAGAAATTCATTGCAGTAAAAATTAGTATATTTCGTTCAAAATGTTTTCATTTTGTCAGTGTAAGTCTGAAAAATTTATATATGTTTTACAAATATAGACATTTTCATAAAATATATTTCTGTTAAAAATGCATTTTTACTTTAACATCAATGTTAACACAAAACATCAACGTTTGTGTGTGTGTTTGTGTGTGTGTGTGTGTGTGTATGTGCTTATGTGATTAGAAATGCGATCCTCGCGTCTTGAAAAGAGAGCGTGATGGATGCGTGATTATATTTGCAGCAGGAATTGAGTGCCGGGATATATATAATTCCAACAGTAATTCAATTGCAAACTTACTTCCTGCAAATCAAAATCGATAATAGAAATGTTCATGTACATTTTCCAGTTTAGCGGAACAATAGATTTCTATTATCAGAGAACTATATACAAATACATTTATCTCTTATACGTTATCATGTTTTTAAAATGTTGCGACATTGAGACATTATAAATATAAAAATTAAATCAGTGCAATTATATTGCAAGTTGTGATGGATTCCAAATACATCGAATCACGTTGCATACAACGAAATTATTAAATCGTTTCGAATATTATTCGAAGCCAAAAGATTTCTGAAAGTCTTGAAATCTAGAAAATCTTGAATATTTTGAAAATATATCTTTTTTTATGTAATACCTTACATTATTTTAATTCGCTCTCAGTTTCATGTCAAGAAAACAATTAATGCGTCTATAATATAGAAAATAATTTTATTTTTGTGAATTTTAAACATTTTTAAGGACAAATCGGACGACTTGGTCCAATCCCATCAGATTTTTTGTCTTGAATGCATTGAAAATTTTTAATATTAAAACATTCAGAACATAGACATTAACAATTTGGAAATTAAGACATTAAAAGTTCAAAGAACTTTTAAGATTTTTCAAGCTTTCAAGAATTTCCAATTTCAAATAGAATGTAATACTACATAGAAGCAATTTAGAGCTCTTTATATGATCGAATAATTTCGACACTTTCAAGAAAAGGATACTAGACATAATTATATCAAATTGCGATATTGCACACCTGTTCTTCTAACGTTACGATCTTACATACAGTATTATCACAGAGACAAAGAGCTACGCGATTCCCTAGTGACGTTCAAAATAAATATATATTCTCAATTAACTATATTTAGCTCAAAAGGAGCTTTTTCCAGCGCCAATACCATCCAATTTCAATTTGATTGAAGCACGTGTTGAGAATAGACAATCCGATGAAAAGTAACGCAAAGAACAGAGTCCACAGTTGGAAGATCGGGGAAACGATAAGTAGAAGCACTGCCATCCCTAAAAATACAATTTATCTTCTGTTATTATTTCCCACGAATGACAGGGAAGATTTTAATTACCTGTTAATATGCTCCAGAATCCGAACGCGATTCGCAACGGCAGCGTTTTCGCCATCGGCCAGATCTGGGTGGAGAATGTTTTTCGTTCATAGAATCCCTGCAATATCGTCTCTTTATCGGACCACCTGTCCTCTAACCACTTTCTCAAGGTCGAATCATCGTACGCCGGTATATCCGCGGATGAAATTCGTTTTATATGAAAATGCACCTCCCTTGGGAATTTACCCTTGATCAGATCGATCTCAGATTGCGGTATGTAGTCCGGATATGCTATCGTCAGATCATACACAGCGTCGAGGTAATTCGCGCGCTGAAGATGCTGGACCAGATAAGCGAAGCCGGTCGTTTTCGGATGGAGGGTATAGGTATAAAGCGGCAGGTGATGCTGCAAGGCGTACTTGTCCGACTTCTCCTTGCTGCTCTTCGTCAGATCGGTGCCTTCGGGGAATATCAACAGCTGCGTGCGGCTATCTAATGCGATCAGGTAATCGAGCGTACGCGATAATCGGCCCCGATCCTCTTCCCACCGTCGCGTTATATAAAGGAAACCATTCATTTGCATTATCCATCCTGTTACAGATACACGTGTTACAGACGTGAAGGCGAGGAGAATGTATATATATTATATCTTTGTAAATAATTGACCCTTTGTATATCGAGTTTGGAACATTACCTGGGCCGGGAATGTGCCGTATAGGATCCTTTAAAATAAATTTCAATTTATGGCAACCGACACTAGGCATACACGCTTGATACATCGCTGCCCATAGGAAGTTCCAATCCACCCTCGTTCTGTGATTCATCACGAGCACGGCCGATTCATTAGGAGATATATGATCGCCAGATACGTAGATCTTTACACCGAACGCCTTCAACAAAGCCTAAAACATTTACAATCCCAGAATAAAATTTAAGATTCCACAATTAAAAGCGATATATTAACAGAATTAGCTAACGAGTTTGAATCTTTATTTTGAAATATACATATATATAATAATAAAATAAAACAAGAGTTTTTAGAAAATTTTTCCTTGAAAGTGTTTAAACATCGGGAACATTTAAAATAAATTAAATTTAAAACAATGTTTGTCTACATGTAAAATGTAGAGAGCAGATAGAAATAATAATGTAAAGTGTTATAAAAGAAAAAGATCTTTAAATATAAATAAGATTTTTACGAATAATTTTGAATTAATTCGATGTATTCTGTGCGCGAATCATTATTTATTATTAATTAATTCGTAAAAGTAATCTATACAATTAACAAGATTTGCAAATACTTACGGTAGGATAAAGTTCCCAGCATGCGAATAGAATGTCTCCACATTTTCGAAATATCGGTGGACTAAACAACAACAATGGCAAGAGCGGACAGGCAATAAATAAAAACCCTGCCGCTATACTACCATACCACAGAGCACAGTATAATGTACCACGTAAAAATCCGCGCATTACAGTCTAGGAGTGGGTATCCTGGAAATAATATAGAATGCATCGGCATGAGGACAAAAATATTACCAATCGTACATATCACGATTTGCGTTTATTCTCAGAAATCAATTGTTAGTAATAATTTCGCAAGAACATACACGAAAACGATATTTCGCATCCGATGCATATAAAAATAAAGATTTAATTTCACATTTCTGCACTAAAAAAATAAAAATTATAGACGATCTCCGTGAAACTTACTTTCACATGTGTATCGTGCAATTGGAGCACCTTTTACGGACATTGGATCTTGACTGTTTCCTTATGAAACACTGCGTCTTTACTGGCTTCCTCCTAGTTCTATTAGAGGGGTTTCTCTTTTCTACCCCTTTCACCCTCGCTCTTTATCCAGCCTCTACCACCGAGCTAAAGGATGCTGTGTTGGACCATTATTGATCTGTTGAGCATAGAGGCTGTACGATCTCAATGAAGAGATTGGAAACGTCAGTAACTGATAATTAACTATCTCTTGTCCAATTAATATTTTTATTCCATTTAGCTTTTTAATATCTAGATTTAATATATTTATTTTTAACAATGCTAAAAAAATATTTATCATATAAATTAGGCGTACATAAAATGTATGCATACACGGTGT